TCTCATAATAGGGCACTTTCCTCTATACACTGTACCGACAATGTGGATAATTCAATTGAAAATAAGCTGAAAAGCTCGATTATCGTGGAAATGCAGGCGATACAGTCATAGACATAACAAATATTTTATTCCAATGCGATAAATCTCGGTGAAGTAAATGTTTTTATTGAGTAAAGGGGCAAATTCCGGACCGGATCGTATGATTCTCGATAAGCAGATTGACCAATGAATGAAGCAGTCTTCCTTGGCACTCGATGAAGATTAATTGTTATCGATAATGGGATAACGAAATCACCGAGTCTCTCTAGATAGGATATTTCATAGTAAATCTAATATTAGCATGTATATACGCGTGTTTATGATGACGGCATTCAGACATCTATCTTATACGTAACATGACTTATCAAAATATGTCACATTCTCGCGTTGATTGAATGCCGACTATAATTACACGTTTATACATCAATAATTTACACAACACACATTACAGAATCTCTGAAAACGTGTTTATAATGGAAATAAATTGCAATTATACAAATAATAAATAAAAATTTATATCGCTACGTATAACGTATAACGATACAGATATCGTGAAAATAAATATGCACAAGTAAAAAATAAATACGCACACTGCGTTAAAGAAACGTTAGAGAAAAACCACTTAGCAAAGAGTAACGCCACGTTTCAGCTTTTTTTTTTTCGTGTCATTCTTACACTATTTTATTGAATGTACAGCGGCAAGCCAATCGAATTTAATACTATATCAGCGACAATCATATGACATAACTGACCGCCTAAATATATTAAGGAGCTATCCTAAGTGTAACACATGTGACTTGCACAATTGATAATATTATAATATTACTTAGAGCTAATGAAGCATTGATGTGTACTAGAAAAGAAAAAAAGGAGACGTATGCTCTCGTGAGAATGTGAGTGTATAATTTTTTTTTTGGAACGATTTTCTGCAACTGTGGGCTCGTCGGCTCATATCAATCGTCGACTGCTATTATTCCCTCTGGAACGCAGATGGGAGTATTCTGTTACAAACGAGAAAGACATGTAGACACAGGGAAAATGTCCCGGGCATAATTCTTTCTTATTTAGATAGTTCTACTTCTTCCGCTCTCTTTTCTTTGCTATGTTCTAATACGCACATTTGACCGTTTGTTCGAAGTCAATAGCCGTTCTGTTGCCTGTAGCTGCTTCCGCCATACCCGCTACTGTTCTGGCTGTAGCTACTGGAGCCACCGCCGGAAGTTCCGCTCCCGAAGCTGTTTTGTGGGAATGATTTACTGCTTCCATAGCTAGCCCCGCCCATGCCACCTATGTGAAGCGTACACGAGGCGTTTACAAGACACAATAATTTCCACCAAACTATGCTACCGAACGTCACAGCGGTGTAAAACTAAGGGCCGTAAGAAATAGGGAGGTGGAAAGAATAGAAGGGCTAAGAATGTGGAGAGACTTGATTGTATCCGTATTTTTACTGATTAAGAATATCGCAATAACATTTTCCATTCAGACAAGCAGACCAATTAAATAAAATTACACAATCAATTTTTTAAATGCTTTGAACCCACCGCTACTGCTTCCGGACCATTTGTTGCCGCGATCATTCGCGCCAGTACCGGAAGAGCGGTCGAATCTTCCTCTATCTCCCGCATCACGTCCTCCACGACTACCTCGTGAACCGCCACGGCCTCCGGAACCTCGTCCACCTCCACCACCTCCGCTGCGTCCGCCATATCGTCCTCCTAATAATCAATCAATGCAAAGATGGAACGTCAGAATTTTTTAAATAAACTTGGATATAAAGAATATGAAGAATATAGATCTGGTACAATCGTATTTTCTTTAAATTCTAATGTAAAAAAAAAAGAATGAATACTCACTCTTATAAACGCCAGGATTCCTGGATAAATCATACAGTTTCGGGTTGACAACTTGCTTGGCCTCTTCCAGAACTTGGATTAAGTCACCAGCCTTGTGAGCATTGCCGGGCGTGAAAAAGGCGTACGCAGTTCCTGTACGCTGCGAGCGACCAGTACGTCCGATACGGTGCACATAGTCCTCAGAGTTGGACGGATAGTCCAAGTTTATCACAAATTTGACATCCTCGACATCTGTGAGATACAGCAAGTTATAATAGCGGCACACGGAAAATACTTGTTCCTTTGTGGTTCAATTAACTTATAAAGCGAATAGATTCAAGCATTTTACCAGGACGCTGCCTTTGCTAATGGAATTAAAGAATCTGATCGTTATCACTGAAGATTACCATTATCGAGTGTTCTGTACCAAACCTTGAAGAATTTGCAATTACAAAATGTAAAAAAAAAATATCATGATAATTCATCTGCCGACTCCTCCCTTCTTCAACGTGCCGTCACATACTTGACAATTTAAAACGGTACACTTGGATATATAAAGGACGGACAAAAAAACATAAAAGTTACCTCATGTAATAGGAAGCATGTGTTGTTTCGAGGTGCAAATTTTTTTTTTTTTTTTTTACTTTAGTTCCATTTGCAATTCGCATATAACATTCAAGTTGACCACAAAGAGCAAGTCTGCATTTAATTACCTGTTTGCGATTAAAGCTGGAAATGTAAATACATTTTTTGGAAATGTAGAGGAATCAGAGCTCAGATGGTTTCTCATGGAATTCTCGCTTCACGTATTAGCGAGCTCTACATTTTTATTCTTAGTCAACATTACACCCTTCTCTCCCGCACCAAAGTATGGATCTGTGTGCTGCCTATTTCGAAATTTGGTCCTTGTACATTGCTTCGGGTGAAGAGGTTGGAACACCAAGTGAGCAGCACCTTGCGTTCTCCACTCAACCCCCACATGTACTTCCCGTCAAATAATTAGCATCAAGAACCACGCACCACAATATTGTGAAGACTCCTTCCTACTTCGAAGCCATAATTATTATTAGTAATCGCTATCGTTATTCTATAATTGTTCGCCTTAACTTACAGAATCTTTGACAATTCAAATTCAAAAGTAATATAAAATGTTATAAAAGTTTAAAAAAACGTTAAAAATTGCCCACGTTCTCTCTCGTACCGAGTTCTTGAATATCTGCGAGATAAAACGTGGTTATTGATAATTGTTTAGGACAATATCACAATTAATGCAGAGCGCGACTTGATGCAATTTGTTATTTCAATCTAACGAATAATCGGCAATATCTATCCTTTTTGTTTTTCTTTTTCGTCTTCATGCTAAAACGCCCTAACATAACAATTTCCATACTTTGGACCGTCGCAGGTACAGAGTGAGAGTGTTTTTCGAGTGGCAAGGTGGCCGAGGCACAGCGTTTGGTTAGCTTGTTGCGAGGGGGCGGCGACCAGCAGTCACGCCCCGTTCAATTACATTTTCCAAAGCTAGTTGCAGAGTTCTAAGACTCCAGAGTCGCATGTGCCTCTGAAAACACATAGAACAGCACGTTAATACCAGACTGACAGGACTTGTTTCGATCTGAGAGTACAAAATCGGAAGAGATAAACCTGGCTAATCGCTCACCTGGTTCCCTCACTCTTAAAGCTGAAATATTTTGACGTTCTTTTTATATCGTAGCTATCTCCATTATATCGCGTTAAGGATTTATTTAACATTATTGTTACTGTTCGAATATAAAATGCGCGAAAACATTAAAAGAACGTCAAAATCCACTTATGCACTAGCCTATAATAAAGGAAGTTGAGGCTTAGAAGTTAACGAAACGATTAAAACTTATTCATTAATCGTACCGCTGAAAAGACAAATGGCGATGTTAATTGCTCAGGTGCGCTCTAAAACGCGCACTACCGAAACTCTCGCTAATTAGTGGGCGAAACGAAAGAATTAGCGTAAAATTAATGAAACGAAAGGATGTCAATGGCAAAATCAAATAGGGTATTTAAACTAGTCGTTCCTGTAATTCCTTAAGAGTAATTAAAATTATCTCCAGCCACACTGGTAAGGAGGTTGTCAATCAGTCTGGCACATGCCGTTATCCGTTGCCACATTACAATACCACGACTTTCACAAAAATGTGAAATAACCATCGCAGCCTGACCCTTACATCATACCTATGTATCTGCAAACTCTTACCTAAACCTCTCGCCGCCACGTCAGTAGCCACAAGGATGGCAGACCTGCTATTCCGGAACTCTAAAACAACATCTCTTGTATTACAAACATCACAACTTCAAAAGATAATGTTATTAAAGATAAAACAAATAAACATAGAACGTTATTTAGTTCAATTTCTTTTCTTCTTTTGACAAGTATAAATTCATTGTACGATATAAAATATTCAGAGATTTAAAATATTACAAGATCTTTCATTTATATAATTACTTGGAATTAGAATTTTTTTCAGCTTTACTTATTTGAATAAAATTGACCGAAAATAAGATAAAATTTCAAATATTTAAATAAAAAGATCGTTAACATTTGTTTCTCGTGTATTTAGAAGATCATAGCAATAGCACTCACGATTTAATACATAATCTCTTTCTTGTTGGCTTTTGTCTCCGTGAATACCAATCGCTTGCCATCCGTATCTATTAATAGCTCTTGTTATATCATCGACTTTCCTCTTAGTTTCCACAAATATTATAGTCTTATTTTCCGGTTCGTTTGAGATTTCTTCCAACAGTTTCATAAGTTTACTTTCCTTCTCGTATTCCTCGCATACATCCACAATTTGCAGAATATTGTGATTGGCGGCCAACTGTAGGGAGCCTATGTTGATCTGTATGTAGTCCGTTAGAAACTCCTCCGCGAGATTACGCACTTCCTTCGGCCACGTGGCCGACCACATGAGAGTCTGACGATCGGGACGTATTTGTTCTACAATTTTCCTAATTTGAGGCTCGAAGCCCATATCGAGCATCCTATCGGCCTCGTCGAGGACTAGGTATGTACATCTACGTAGATTTGTCGTGCCGCGCTCTAAGAAGTCTATGAGACGACCCGGCGTGGCAATGCAAATTTCTACGCCGCGTTCGAGGTCGCGCGCTTGTGGTCCCTTCGGGGCGCCGCCGAAGATGCATGTGTTTCGCACCTGAGAAGACATACCAAAATCCGACGCGACTTGCTGAATTTGCTGCGCCAATTCTCGGGTTGGTGCCAAGATCAATGCGATCGGTCCGTCATTCCGGCTCAGTCTGGGCTGATGATTTATGTGAACGATCGCCGGCAAAATGTACGCCAGAGTCTTTCCCGAACCTGTCTGCGCTATACCGACCATATCCCGACCGGACAGCGCGATGGGCCAACCCTGTGCCTGAATTGCGGTCGGCTCGCCGAATCCCTGTCTACGAATCTCGTTGAGAACGTAGTCCGGGAAGCCACCTTCCTCGAAATAAACATTGGGACCTGGAACGTTAGCTCCCTTCACAGTGATCTCCTTGTTGGAACGGTATGACTCCACGGCATGAATACCCCGTGCCATTACGTTGGGGTGTGGCTGGTAGAAGTCCTTTCTGAAGGACTGCAGAGTGCTCATATCCCAACGTGGTTTACGTAGACGCTCCCCGGGCTGCCGGTTCTTAAAATTGTTGTTCCCGAAACTGCTGTCTCTGTTTGCGCTGCTGCTGAATCTACTGCCACCCCCTCCGCCTCCGTCGCGTCCGCCGAATCGACCTCCGCGTGCTCCGCCGCCGCCACTACCTCCTCCTCGTCTATCAGAACGTTCGCGTTCACCGTATGCCCTTTTTCAAACAAAGCAAAAATCATCATTAAACCTCGGCATCACTATATTAAGAAAAAAGAGAGATCAAATCTTAGGCCTGTTCTTTTCAGCTGAACTTCTTGCACGGTTCATCTTTTCTCTTTTTCTCTCCAACATGAAAAGAAAAAGGGAAAATATGAACCGTGCAGATGTTCAGCTGAAAAGAACAGACCTCTATTACTTTAGGAAACGGTCATGAATTATTTTCTTTCTCGCTGTAATATTTCTTTGCTTGTGTATAGATGTTTGTATACATGATTCTACTTTAGCTGCAATATGCTGTACATTTGAACTTGAGATTATTACACGTTGAGGGAAAAATATGTTATTATAAACAGCCGACAGCTCATCGGCGAGCAGGAGAAACTTGTAGGACAAATAATATTTGTTCTTTTGTATCTGAATTCTTGTACCTTTTATCCTTCCTCTTTCCTTCTGTAATTATACATATATCTGTGTCTCATTTTAAGTGTAAAAATTTGTACCTTTTATCCTTCCTCTTTCCTTCTGTAATTATACATATATCTGTGTCTCATTTTAAGTGGAAAAATTATAACATAGCGCAGCTACAAAAAACGGATCTAGAAAATACCAAGGCATATCCTATTGTCTTAGTACTCTACAAGTATTCTACTAGTATTCTATATAATCCTACAATTATCTGGAGAAGAGAGAGACTCGTCTTTCTCTCTTCTCCAGGAAAACTCTCTCTTCCTCATACAGCATTGGGAGGCTTTCTCGAAACGTTAGACTTATGTAATTCAGTTCGCTTATGCTTCCTGATTCCCTAACGATCCACAGTTACGTATCATCCCAATTAATTGCATCTAGAAGCTTCCTATCGCTATATGTTGCCACCAATCTCCGCTATTTCTTTGTTAATAAAATTTCGGACGAAACTCGCGAAGATTCTCCCATGCGTTGCGAGCGAAAATGTCGTGGGAAAATGTCGCGAAATTTTTTTCCTCGATGCGACGCGTGTCCCCGAGGGAATCCACATATCCAGGATGGATATTTTTCGAGTCGCGCGATTCCACTCGGCCGTCGCGTACATTATTCAATCCCGAGATCCGGTCTCGCAATATCTCGCAATCCGTATCGCGAATTCTGGCGATTCATGATTCATCGCGAACACGACAAAGGAGCCTTTTACCGTTCGCAAAATGGCGTACAAGCGCGATCGGACAAGTAGCGGAACGTCGAGCGAGAAAAGTGCGAGAACGCGGGCGAAATTCGCCTCGCGTTCACTCGCGCGAACTTACATTGCAGCGGGCGGGAATGTGTCGCTGATTTCCGTGCGATTTCCTTGACGATTGCCGATGTGGGTCGAGAACAATCCAACAATCCGGGCTGGGTGACGAGAACACGTTCGGCCACTAACGGAGCAGCCAGCCAAAGGGACGAGGACGAGGTGTCTGGCCGTGTCGGCGTCACGCTGTCATGGCGCCCTCGGCGAGAAGTAGTCCCTCCGCGAGTCGCGATCGCGCCCTACGGCCACGATCCTCAACAATCGCGTACCCTTTTCCGCGGAAAAATCGTAATACGAGTAGAAAATTCAGCGATTTTACCAAGGGCGTACGCTTTTTTTAGCCCCCGCGACGACAGAGAGACGAGGAAACCTGGAAAGAATGCGCGAGCGTTCCGCGCCGGAAGTGAAAGTTAGGCACAAAGCCAGCTTCAGCGCCGCCACGTTCGTCCCTACAGCGCCCAGATTCGAGTTGCGCCAAATTCGAAACTGCGTTCAACATCCATCCTTATGTATTATCACTATATCAAATTTTTTTTAAGAAAACAATTCTTAATTTGAACACCTGGGAGTAATAAGTCAATTTATGAAGATTTTTTTTCAGCCAGTCATGTCGTGTAATTTTACATACTGTCCGTATGTTCTTAGCGATTCGATAATCGAAAGCTAGAATTAATGTCTATCTAAATAAATTAATATAGTTATATAATGTATAAAAAATTAAATCAATCTTTACATTTTATTATTTTCCTTTATGCAAATAAATTATATGTGCAGATTTGTTTGAATAGAGAAACGATATGTCGCCTTATCTTTTTTTTCTTTTAAACGTTTAGTAAATTTTAGTGCACACCAGACAGATGTGTATCTCGTGCTGAGAACACAGGGGAGAACTCGGTTGTTTCCAAGAAAGTTAGCTTTATTAATTCTGTAACATAAACTCACACAACAAACAACGACACATATCAAGTTTTTTTTTCTTAAAAAAAAACTTCAGCAATCACAGATCACTCAAAGAATCACAGATATGAATATTATAATTTATAACGCATTAGATTGAATATAGAAATAGATACTGATCTATGCCAAAGACTGTCAAATCAAAATGATAAGGCCTACATGTATAGCTTTTTGCAAAGTTAATTAATTGCAACTGAACAGTGTGACGCTTAAATTGTTTGGTGAAATACATATGCCGAATCTTTTAGTCTTATTAAAAAACAAATGATACATTAACATTTGTATAGCCTATCAATTGCACTTTTCACATTTCATTGACGAATTTTTATCACATTCCTTTAATTCCCTACAATTTAACGAAAGATACAAGGCTGTTGTTATTATTGCAATTTAAAATATTTTACTCAAAAGTCTAAACTAAAGATAACTAAAATAAGATAAACTGTTAATATTATTAAAATATAAAAATTAAAAGCGACTAACAATTTTTAATAGTCTCTTATCTAAAAAGAAGATATAATTCCAAGATTGTCCAAGGAGTTTATTTGTGAAAAGAAAATGATAATAGTAGGACAAATTGAACAATTCAAATTTAAAAAATTAAAGCTGTTATATAATCCTCTTTAGTCTAAATATTGCATGCACAAATGTGATGCAAATATCCCCCCCAATTCACTTTCTTACTAATTTTTTTTCTTACTATGCTCTTTATAACAAAAAGTTATTTATCCGCTAATCAACAAATATAATACGTTATAAACGAGACTGATGTACAATCAACAAAATATATACTGCTTGCGGTAAAATTCTGTAACGATTCATAAAATTTATAAATAAAATATTTAACTATTATAAAATGGAGCTTAAAATCGTTTAAAGAAAAATCAATACTTGAGCGTATTAATGATTACACTCTAATACTACTTATAAGAATTTACATTTTTCTGCTCTCGTTAAATATCTGTCCCGCTAACATGTTTTAAACGAGAATAACTTGCAAAATTAGAGTTGCAACTGCAACTAAAATTGTATCGAAATTTCTTCGGTTTTACTCACTGCAAATTCGACATATATGCAAACGAATAAATGTGCTACATATATATTCAACAAACTTATAATTGTTGACTTGCAAACATTAGACGCGATCATTATTCACTTGATAGTATGATGTAGAATGTAATATATACTATCGCACCGATATTTTCATTATTTTATGCCGCGTTACTTATACTATTCATTTTCTATATAAGTCCTTTTTTTATTATAGGCTGTATAGGCTCTTGTCTGTATCCTGTCGACTCCTACTATAACTAAACATGACACATTTTACATCGTCGAATTATTACGTGCTATCAATCACTCATTAAAAACGGAATTAATAAGTTGTGCTTCTGTAGGAATAACCACTTCCGTAATTATCGCCACCTCCGTAATTTTGAGGCATACTTCCCTGCCCGTAACTTCTTTGCGTGCTATATCCGTACGCCGTGTTCTGGCCCAAAGAAGTATTCTGTTTCACATTATTATAATTACTATAATCCGATCCCGAATAAACGCTCGAAGAAGGCTGATAAGAAGTCCCGCTACGAGGAGGGCCTCTTCCTCTTGCCGAACCGCCACCTCTTCCTCTACCATCATTACTTCTTCGGCCATTACCCCTTTCAGCGCCGTTACCACCAGAAGAACCGCCGAAACGTTTTCCACCTTATTATAATATAAATATGACATATATATATATAATGTATGAAATAATCGATCGAATAACTAGGGATCATAATCGCTATAATCGAAAGTAAAGTAAACTTTTTCTTCCCCATTCTTTCACATTTGCGTATAACCGGGTTAGGGTAAAAAAAAAAGTTTACTTTTTTGCCATTAGAATAAAAATGTAGATGTATAATACCGACTATGCGAAAACATACCTCTGCCGCTGAAGTTTCCCGCCTTGGCCATCTCTGCCATTTCACTAAGACGCGGATTGACATTCTGTCCGGCCTCTCGTAAAACTTCTATCAAATCTCCGGCGTGCTTCATATTGTGACTAGTGAAAAACGCATACGCCGTTCCGGTCTGCCGCCTACGTCCAGTTCGACCGATTCTGTGTATGTAATCCTCCGACGAAGATGGATAATCGAAATTTATCACGTATTTCACATCATCGACATCTGTGAAGTAGTAGTTATGAAAAATATTATTGAAATTTTTTTACTATTGATATTATTGATAATATTAATGAACAATGGTATTATATTCTTCTTGACAAATATATGTATTCTAAAATCTGCTATTTATATATACAAATTATTATTTTATAATTCTTTTTGAATTCGAAAACTAAATATTTCTCGTTTATTTAAATCAAGAGACACGATAGTGTCTCGCGTCAAATATATGCGAAGCGAGACCGCACTCGATATTTATATTATTACTGCACTTGAGCATAGACATAAAAGCTTATCAATGCTTGTGCTCATGCATATGGATAGATATTATCAGATATTGATTGACAACTTATTTGAATAAAAGGATAAAGGAAAAATATATTTCTGCATGTCAAGTAGATAACTTAAATACATATTAGATACGTATTACATAATATACCTACTACTACGTTTTGGCAAGAAATTATCGATATTAATTTCCAGATAACAGATTTAGACACCCACCTTTTGTTTGGAAATTCCGATGTGAAATCAGCGAGAACGACCCCGTTTGCTTTTAAAGGGGGGCAATTCTGGTTGCTTTCTTATGGGCTTTCATATATAATATACTGGCGGCCTAGAGATTAGACAGACACAGCGGTTGTGTCTGGTATGGGATAGAGGCAGCAATTTAGGGTTTAAGCCTGAGTGCATTAGTTTTGATAGGCACTGTATAATAATTTCTTACGGTTAATGTTAGAGGCACTGGATAACAAGTTTAGCAATTGCACTTTTTGAGTTTTCGTATTGCGATTGGAAATTACGTTTACATATTTATGATTATTACTTCACTTTATGATAAAACCTTGCTTAAAAGATATCCATTTAATTTTTTAATTATGACACAAGTAATATGTAAATGCACATATATTGTGATTATCTGGTATCATTTAATGCATTGATCATCGATTAATGCATCAATGATCATAAAGTCTATTTTGCTATTCCGTAATGAGAAAATTAAAACAAAAGTTAAGTCGTACATGAATCTAGCTTTCCGTTTGGAAATTGTTATAATATATAAGCAAAGAAAAATAAAATAATCACTGTGTCTGCCCAATACTGGCAGTACACCGCGTTGAGTTAGGGTACTCTGTGCCTCTGAAAAAGAAAAGCAGACAGACTTAGTGGTAGCTTGTGTGCATTTTCAGAACCTTGCTCTTATATACATTATTATCAAAATCAATAGAACTCTTCATTTCAACATTGAAGCTAATCATGTATCAATAGTTAGTACAGTCATAAATTAAACATTGAGGTAACAAAAACGTTGCTGTTTCCATTATTTTTACATAAAAAGATACATATTTATTTACAAGAATTAATGGGATTACAACAAAAACAAAAATGAGCTTGTAAGAAGTAACAAATCAACAAGATTTTAAAAAATGTTCAAAACATACGTAATTGCGGAACAAAAAATTACGTGTAAAAAGGCATAAATCATATAAAAAACGTTATCAATTTTACATGGCTCTACAATATACATTCGAGACAAATATGATAAAAAGTTCCAATGCATCACACACCGCTACGTACACAGCTGTCGGCTGGCCTCACTCTAACAACGCATCACCGGCTAATCCAATAAGTGTTGCCAATACCCAGTTCAACCGTGACTCTATCGGTATCTCGCCAATACTAAAGCATAGCCGAATAGAGTTTTACATACCCAAGCCTCTAGCGGCTACATCAGTCGCGACCATAATCGGCGCTCTTCCGCTGCGGAATTCTTGTAACACATGGTCCCTTTCCTGCTGGTTCTTGTCACCGTGAATACTCACAGCTTGCCACCCTTCGCGTCTAATATTTTTCGTAATGTCGTCTACTTTACGTTTAGTTTCCACAAATATGATGGTCTTATTCTCCTTTTCAGTGCCGATCTCTTGAAGCAATCTATACAGCTTCGAGTCTTTCTCGTGCTCGTGACAAACATCGATAATCTGAGTGATGTTATGATTGGCCGACAGGGTTAAAGAGCCGATATTGAGATGAACATAATCTGTCAAGAAGTCCTCCGCGAGCGCACGAACTTCTTTAGGCCACGTCGCCGACCACATGAGCACTTGCCTGTCAGGGCGTATCTGCTCAATTATTTTTCGTATCTGGGGTTCAAATCCCATATCTAGCATGCGATCGGCTTCATCAAGTACTAGATACGTACACCTGAAATAAAAGAATAAAATAATATTTAGATGGTTGTAAATTTATGTGTCTCCGATATAATTTTTATTTATCATTAAAATTTTAAAGAGTTATACATACCTACGTAAGTTTGTAGTTCCTCTTTCTAAGAAATCTATAAGTCTACCTGGTGTGGCAATGCATATTTCAATGCCCCTCTCCAAATCGTGCGCTTGTGGTCCTTTTGGAGCCCCGCCGAAGATACATGTGTTTCTTACAGCTGCAGTTTCTCCAAAACTATTAGCCACTTCTTGAATTTGTTGAGCTAATTCTCTGGTTGGAGCTAAGATCAAGACAATTGGACCATCCCCGCTGCTTATGCGCGGTTGGTGTATGATATGGACGATTGCAGGTAAAATATACTAGAAAAAATAAAATAAAATAAAATAAAATAAAATAATCTAATACAAATATATCTTTAAAATGTTGTGTATATCCAATACATCTTTATTTAAATTTATATAAAGTATATGTGTAATAGAACTATTTACTATGAATAATTGAACAAATAAGAGTAAAACGTGTAAGAAAACATTCTAAGATGCTCATTTGTTAAATATTACATATATTTTTATGATATTGAATATATTTTTAATTTTGCTCACTCCAAGTGTCTTTCCAGAGCCAGTTTGAGCGATTGCAACAAGATCTCTGCCGCTAAGGGCAATAGGCCATCCTTGGGCTTGAATTGGAGTAGGTTGCGAATATCCTTCTCTACGAATGCCCTCCATTACATAAGGCGGGAAGTTTCCCTCCTCGAAATATTGTATGGGATTAGGAACGTTTTCACCCTTCACAGATATTTCTGCGTTCTCTCGAAATTGATTCACCTCTTCGCTAGATCTAACTCAGAGTTAAATTGTGTGAGCACATTTCTGTCGTTTACCTCATATTATATTTTATATTAGTTACCAATGCAATTAATACCTGTTCCTAACTGCGGGATGCTCTATATAAAAGTCTTTGCGTATTGGTTCTAAAGTACGAAGGTCCCAGTTTACTTTCCTTAGACCGCCACCCGGTTGCTTTCCTTTTAATCCTCCTCGCACATTATTGGCGCTTCCTCTACTAAGTGTGCCAAATCTGCTGGTACCGCGTCCATTATCGGTGCCGCCTCTGCCAGTACTTGTCCCTATCTTGACAGTACCGCCACGGCGGCCCCTGCTCTGATCTCGGTCACGGCTAAACCTACAAATGCACATGCTTTATGAAACTATAGGGTTTCATATAATATCTGGCACAATATAGGCTTTCTCAATAAAAATTTCAAGTTTAATTTGACTCGTT